TCCTCATCAGGGAAGGCTGTCATCCAGACAGGCCTGGGAGGCAGGAGGGCCCAGCCTACACAGACCGTGAGGCCCTTTGTCTCTGGACAAGTAAATCCACTGGCCCTTTCCCAGCCCCACAGCCTTTACCACTATAGGAACTTAGACTTTTTCTGAAAGAAATCTCAGAGCATCACACTTATATAACAGCCTTTGTATTAAAAGGAATAATTAAATGCTACTGTTTAAAGTACACCACAGTTTGGAATTATCCCACTTAGGCCTTTCTGAATTCTTTTTTTCTGCTGAGACAGAACTTGAATTCCCCTTGTGCCTATCAGATAAGAACTCTACCACTCAGCTACACCCTGGTCTGTTTTTTTAGAAGGTCTGTGTAGCCCAGGCTAGCCAAGAATGTCCTCATTCTCTGGCTTCAGACTCCTGGGGCAAATCAGAATGAAAAGGGTTTATTCAGATCCAGCTGGCAAACTACTTCCTGGCTATGTATGCTGGGTGCAGGGGTTTCTCAATGAGTACTAAACCAGTGCTTCCCAATATTTTCAGTGCTGTGGCCCTTTAATACATTTCCTCATGTTGTGGTGAGTCCAACCATAAAATTATTTTTATTGCTACTTCATAACTGTAATTTTGTTAGTTGTGAATCATAATGTCAATATCTGATATGTAGGATGTCTGATACACGACCCCCAAAGGGGTTGATACCCACAGCTTGAGAACCACTGCTTTAATGGAAAAGGAAGGCATTATCTAAGGAAGCATTAAAGAAATGTATTATGAGGGCTCATGGGAGACAAAAGCAGTGAATACTTTCACTTGGTAACTGGCTGTGTGAAGGGCTTTGGTTTCCCTTGGAGAGCATGATGTCCGGTCTGTAAGGAGCACATTTGCATGCATTTCAAAAAAAATGATTTGTTTATTTTAGAGCAGCAGTCACAAAATCAGTGTGAGAATCCGGCAGTGTTTCTCAGGATGCCCAGGCCCACTTCCTCTTATTCACAGCCACTCCTATGAGGTACACTGCGAACTAGTGCACTTGTGTTGGTATTAATGTTGGTGCGAACTAATTAACCAAAGCCCATCATGTATTCAAATCCCCTTTCTTTCCCCAATTTCACTTTCTGTTCCAGGATCCCTTCCAGGACATCACATGACACGTAGTTGTGTCTTCTTAAGTGTGACAGTTGCTCTGGTGTTTCTTTTTTTATGTAGTGTGTTTTGTTTGTTTTGAGACGGGATCTCACCGTGAGCCCAGGGCTAGACTCCATCCCACAGAGACTCCCTGACTTGTGCTGCCTAAGTGTTGGCCGTGAAGACACGTGCCACCAAGCCCGGAAAGGATTTCTGCTGTGTTGGTTTCGGTTTCGGTTTCAGTGCTCCCACCGCTAGGCTACCCGTCAGGTGCACCTTCCCTCTTTGGAAGGACGGTTTTAAGGAGCTGGTCAGCTGTTTTGTAGTATGCACCTTGATTCAGAAGGCTTAGACGTTTCTTTTTCGATAAGCTGGCATTGTAGGCTTGGGGACGGAGACCTTCAAGGGGAAAGGCTATTTTCACGCACACACAGCAGGGGACAAGCTCCCTGGAGTTTACTCTGTCCGGAGCCTCAACCACCTGGCTGAGGCCCAGTTTCTCTGCGGCAGTTATTCTTTTGTTTGTGGTTTCATCTCCCTTCCTTTAGGAGGCAGTCGCTCTGCACAGGTGCAGGACATCTATTCAGAATTTTATGCATTTTTGCCTTTTTTTTTTTTTTTTTACTCTTTAGAAGTATAAAAACTTCAGTATTTTTAGGAACGTAGAAATCTTGTATTTCAATGAGCAAAACACATAAAAATCACCAAGACACTGTAGGCAGGACAAAAAACCAACGATTTTTTTAAAATTCTTATGTGTGATGGATAGATATAAAGAAAACAAGATTTGGGGAACACCAAGAACAGGAAGGAAAACCTCTTTATCACACTGCTAAGTTGCCACAACTCACTTTATCACCTTGAATTTTTCTTCAAGCCACGATTTTACTTAGAGCATCCTATCTATAAAAATCCACAGATGACTATTGTTGGGGGAAGGGCTGTTTTGTTGTTTTTTGCATCATCTCATTTATTCTGGCTTACTATCTCATCAAAAGCATTTCCTCTGTGTTGCCATACAGACTTCACAACTATCATTTTTGCTGGCTGCTAAATATCCCCTCCCCATGGCTTACAGTAAGAGCCCACTGCCCTCCTCCCCAAACCAGTAGGTTACTGGCATGTACAGTATTTAGAAATTATTTGTTGAATGAATGAATAGACAACAAAGTAACCATTCTGTGGTTTAGAAATGGACATCATTTTCTGTTCTCTTGATTCTAAACAGCATGGAGATGACTAGCTAGTGTCCCAAGAGTGGCATGACCAGGCCAACAAGAACCTAGAACTTAGGACAATGCTAAATGCATGGACACAGAAGTCCTCCCTTCCACCCTCCCACTTCCCTCTGCACCACCACCACCCACAACTCTGCCAAGACTGATCATTTACAATTGATTAAAGAGTTTGTGGGGGTGTTTCCCCCACCACCACCTTTTTTTTTTTTTTTTTTTTTTTTTTTTTGCTTTCCTCTCCTCCTCGCCTCCTGCCAAAAAAGGAGGAAAATTACCCGAGAAGGTGAAGATGTTCTCAGACAATCATATTAACATATTCCAACAATCGCAATTTGCAAAATAGTAATCACTACTCTCCGGCTCCAGGAGGCATTAATCAAAGCTACAGGTTTAATTCCATTTTAAATATTGATGAAATGTGCTCCGGCAGCCTCACCCTGGCGTGGTAGGGCCAGAGGAGCCTAGGAGGCGCCGAGGAGGTGGAGGGAGGCTGGAAGAGCAGCTGCCCGAGGGAAGGCATCTGTGATTCAAATTGGTGGCTGTACAGCCAGGTAGAGAGTGAACGGGGTGGTAAAGAGGGCTGTTAAGTCCATTGCTGTCAATTTGTAACGATCAGGGAGGGGCCCAAGCACTGGTTCAGCACAATACACCCAGTTTGCCTGGTTTCAGGGGTTACCGCTGAAGAGGCTGCAGCTGCACTGATTCCAATAGCCTGGAGACTTCAGAACTGTAATTACCAACCAGGCTGCTCACACTGTGGCGAAAGTGGGCTCCACCAGCAGTTAACTCCTTGTGTGCTGACACAGCAGCGTAGCACCCCACCACACACCCTTGGGTTTCCAGCCTCAGCTTAGACACTCAGGCAGCCTGCTAGGGGAAACTGAGGCCCACTGGCTGCTTGGGTAAGTCTCCCACGGCCAGAGCTCACTCAGCAGCAAGCTTTTTTTCTTGAATCATATGCAAAGAAATAAAGGGGATAGATAGGGACTTGCTGTTCCGGGGGCACCCTGGCTTTGCATCATCCAGTTTGCCCTGGGGTGAGAAGTTACGCTGCAGTTCCTGATGACCTTGCTGAGATCCCACGGACCAGAGACCTCGTAGACCTGTGACAAGTTCTGTGAAATAGTTACAGAGACTCAGTGAGACGCAGGGCTTGTGTGGGACATTCAACTATCCATAAACCTCTTCCCAATGCGGGTCTGGTGTTTTTCATAAAAAGGTGCCCCTAGGCAGGGTCCCTGTGCAGAGGCTGGGAGAGGCTTTTTACTAGCCTTCTGCTTTACTTTAGTGAGTCCCTTTGGTCCCTAGTTTATAGCATTTGTCACCTGAAGAGAATGGGGAGTCCCTTTCTCCAACTGAAGCAGTGGGTTAAAGAGAGGTAAGAAGTATACAGCTCCGTTTCTGTGGCCCAGAGGAGGCCAGCCAGAGGACATGGATGGCACAAAAGGACAGGAGGACAAGGGAGGGCAGGCAGGGAGGGTGGGAGCATGGGTGAGTGAAATCTGTGCTGCCCCCATGGCACTAACTCTCAGAACAAAGCTCAGGCAAGTTCTCCCATGCATTCACAAAGACAGGAGCCCCAGAACTCCATCCCAGCACTGCGCCTGGTGTCCCCGGTTTGGGGAAGCTGGAAGCTTCTAGGACAGAGTCAGTTATGAGTGCTACCAGCTATGGAAGATGAGGCAGCATTGGTAACAAGCAAAGAACTGGAAAAGTGAACCCTACTTTTGGGAGCAAAAGAAGTCCCACACAATGCAGCTCACAGCACAATGCCATTTTGTAAATTAAAAACAGATTTGCACACAAAATAAAAGGGCATATTTTATAGAGCTGCATACATTTTTAGGGGTGCATGCCCTGCTGTTAGAGTGGGTCCCAGTTGTGGTGGGTGGGGAGGGGTTGGATGTGTGTCTAGAGGAGAAAGAGGGAGGAAAGGAAATTTTTACAAAATTCCACAGAGGGTTCCATACAGAGAGGTGAAGATGAACCCCTATGAACTGAAAACTGGGGCTCACTCAACTGTAGGGCTTGGAAAAGCAGCAGCCATGGAATCATATCTTCCCAGGCTCTCCCATATGCTAACTCAGAGGCGGGGCACAAATGGTCAGACCCCTAGTGAGCCTCTGTTGATCTGCATGGAGGTGGGAAGGACTCCCTTGTGTGGAGGCAGGATGATTGAGAGGAATGCATTCAGGCCTCTGAGAACATGACACCAGGGGTCTCCCTCTGCATCCCCCACTGTGTACCTGAGGCTGTGTCTCCTAGTACTTTTGCCAAGCTCTGGCCCAGTGCATTGGAGCTGCTGCTTGTATGGTATGCGTGTCAGCAGGTGAATGCCTGAGCATAAGACTGTCACTCTGCCTGTCAGGATCAAACCAAGATGGCCAAATGCTCTCAGACTGTCTTCATCAGTGACACCCTCAAACCATGAACTCAGTGGCTAGTTTTCCCATGCCTTCGCACTTTGCTGAGAGATGCTATAATGGTTCAAGGTCTGCTCCAGCCATTCTGGCCCCACCACCTGGGCTAGCAGTCTGTGCTGGAAGGCACTGAGGGCCTCAAGATCCCACTTGGGGGACTCCCAGGGCCTGGAGCATCCTAGTGAATACGAGAAGTAACTGGCTTCTCTCCCTACAGATGATGATGAGCATGAGTGGATCATCAGGACCTGCCGTAAGAGGTTGATGAATAAACCTGAACAGAAGGCCTAGCTGGGTGCACCTCAGCCTCAGTAGCTCAGGGATTGCCCTCTGCCCACAGCTGGCCTGGGAAAATGGCTGTAGGTCTAGTTTCAACTTAGGTCTCACAATAAAGGTTTTCTGCACCAAATGGCCCCAAAGGGTAAGTGCTTTAGACGAATTTCTTAGAAAATGCCCCAATTTCACCTGCTTCGGTGCCACCTTGGTAGTCCTGGGTCTAAGCCCAGACTTGCCAGTTAGAATATCTGAAAATGGGGCGTGGCAATGCACTCTTATGCATGGGAAAGCTCAAGAACCCTTATCTATGGCATGTATTTCTAACAGAATCAGCAACTAAGGAGGTAAGAGCCCCCTCCTGCAGACAGGGCTCAGGAAGTGTGAATTGTGGGGTGACTCACTAGGTCTCAGCACCTCCACACTGGCACCTTCTCCCAGTACCACCTTTCCCTCTGGGCACTGAATCTGCAAAGTACTTTGGTGTCTACATGGGCTTCAAATCTCAGCCCTCTCATGGCCACCCATCATGCAATTTTGGGCAAGTCACTTCGCTAAGCCTCAGCGTCCACATCTATAAAGCCCTAACAAGGATGCTTAAAACAACAGAGCATCATAGTGAGTGGGATAGTTCAAGAAACTGACACCTGGCGGGTGATCAACGTTGACCCTAAAGATCAGTTTGTGCCACTGTAATCCTAGCACTTGGAAGAGTAAGGCAGAAGGGCCACAAGCTCAAGAGCCAGTCAAGGTTACATAATAAGGCCCAATGACAGAAACAAGTCTGTGTGCTGTGCCTATAATCACCCTAGAGATCACATTCTTTGGCTAAATTCAGAAGGAGAACCCCAGCGCTGCTCCTGCGCTCCAAGCATCCTGTATCTTTGCATGACTGCTTGTCCACAGAGGCCTTTAGATCCCAGGTTATAACTGCTGTTCTCTCAGAGCTACCCTGTGGAGACAGCAGAGGGGTCAGGCTAGGGAGCGATCTGCTGAGATCTACAGGAGAAAAACTTCAAAGTAGAAATTCAGGAATCAAGGAGAACCATCAGCCAAGGGGGATTTAGGTCCCCTTAGCTAGATGCTCCATGGAGTAGAGCTGGGGAAGTTGTCTCTCCCTTCTACAGCTTTAGTTACCCCTAGAAAACTAATGAGATGGAGCTGAACCAGTGGCTCTCAAACTGGGTTTTCAAAACAGAAGGTACATTCAGCAAAGAAACACCCTTACATGCTCATGTACATATGCAATAAGTGAATGTTCTCTATCATATACAAACAGAACTTAAAATCTAGAAGAGAGGGAGAGGCAGAGACAAAGGCAGGGGTGGAGGATTAAAAGAAAACAATAAAGGAGCTGGGGAGATGGCCCAGTTGATAAACTGCTTGCCACACAAGCGTGAGGATCTTAGCCTTGATCCCTAGCACCCAGGTAAGAAGTCAAGCACAACAGTATGTACCTGTCATTCCAGTGCAGGAGAGAGAGAGACGGGAGGTTTCCTGGGGCTTGCTGGCTAGATGCTCTAGCCAAATTGGTCAGATCCACATTCAGCGGGAGATCCTGTCTCAAAAAACAAGGTGGAGAGCTACTGAAAAAAATAAGGGATATACCCAGGGCATCTGTGAGACACACACACACACACACACACACACACACACACACACACACACACATATAGGCCCCGTGAGCTTTCCTGCAATGCTTACAAGCAACATGCTCAGGACTGCGGGAGGTAGGGACATCTCCCCAACCCACAGGCAGCTCTACTCTCCATACCTAGGGCTTGACCTTGAAGAGAAGGTTTTACAGAGGAACTAATCAGAGAACCACCAGACCTTTGTCCAGCATGTGTTTGCCTTGATACCTGTCAAAGCCACCATGAGAGTTAGTCTTGTGCTAAAGCTGGAGCCATCATATTAGATTCTGCCCCATCAGGTCCCTGAGTGCCTTCTTCCCCATCCTCCCCCAACACCCTCCCCTTTCATACCTATTCTTTGTATCTTAATGGATTGGATTCAGCTCAAGTGCCACCCCTCAGTCCCCCAACATGTTAGAGGAACATTTGTTGACAGCACTGGCCAGATAGAGCTTCTCTGATGAAGGGCAACATAGGACCACAGCAGAGATTTGGTATTCAGAAAGCAGAACAGAGGGCAGTACCCGGCCTTGACTTCCCACAAAGTGGTCAGTACTTTTAGGACAACACAGTATTAGAGCAGAAACCCATCCCTGTGCCTTACCATAGTCCACTGTACCAGTTTCTTTGGGGATTGTACCATCTAGCAGCTCACACCTAAGCCAGGGACCTAAGCCCTTAACAGAAGAGCAACAGAGAATGGAGTCCTGTCATATCGTAGGTTTAAGCGCCAGCACTTCTACTCGCATTAACTTTATTTATTACACAAATAAGACATTTACAAAGCACAACATGAAAGGTATGTAACAAAACAGACATTGGTTTTACAAAAAAAAAAAAAAGTGCTTACAATTTTTTCCATTTGTGTGTTTCCCCCCTTTGTGTATGTGTGCGTGTGTGTGCGTGTGTATTTAAATAAATAGCCTCTATGGCCTGTATATTCCCAGGCTGTTCTGAACAGGGTAGTGGAGACATTTGAACTGCAACATGCTACTGCCACGTTATCCACGCAAGAAATAGACTCTGGGGGAAAGCTCAAGGCAGAGTGGGTACCGAGTGACCCGGGCTCAGCTGGCCATGTCCCACACGGTTGCGATTGGGATTTTGATCATTAGGAGCAAAAATCAAAGGAAAGATCTGGGTTCCCCAACACCAGGGATCAGGCCAGGTTCCTCCTGCTTGAGTCAGTGCCTGGCTCAGTGTACTGGAGTTCTGAACTCAACCACACTCACAGTATTCTGGGTGGTGCTTTCTCTTTGTCCTCAGTCAGTTGGCAATTTTTGGAAGGAAAAGATGCAAGTTTCCTTCAGGGGCTTCCTCCATGCCTAACTCTCCTTCAGGTCTCACAGCAAAATGGCACAGTGGTTCTCAAATAAGTGCCAACTTCAAGCATGCGAATTCTAAAACCTTGTCCAGACTCCGTGAGAGAGAGCACTGTGATTGATTAGCTATGTCTGCCATGAGTGAAGCAGGGAGCAACTCCATACATACTATGAACTTGCCTTCCCTGTCCTGAAGTCTTCTCAAAGTGAGCAGAAGGACTTTGGCTAAAACATGCTGCTAGGCAGCGTCTAGTAAAAAGAGCATCAGGCCACAGAGTGGCTCTAGAATTACAGGATAAGCTTGGGACAAATGGGCATCCCCTGAAAACATAAATGGTGTGTGGGGGGCACTGTGTAACCTGAAAGCTGTATTTGGAGTTGGCCTCTGCTCTCAGGAGTGGGTGGAGCTGGCTCTGTGGAGAGTTGGTGGGGAAACTGCAGAGGTGCCAGCTGGAATCCTGGGCACCTCTCTTCCCTCGGGGATGAATCAGAACTGCTCTTCTGGCTGCCATTTCACTGGGCTTTGGTCCTTGATCCTCATGAGTGCTCCCACCCCACCCCCAGAGAAGACTGGCTCAGGCCCTTCTCTCAGGACTGAAAAGTGGCCAACAAGGGTCTCAAATGCTAGCCCACCCAAACATTCAGCGGTGTCATCATGCAGATCAGGATGCCATCCTTGCCATGACTCCTGCTGGGTAATTAGGTGGGGGAAGCCCCCCTCCAAGTTTCCTCTTTTCTCTCCATGAGACGGTCAGCACCTCTCCAAGTCCAGCATACCCAGTCCCTCTCCTCCAAGCCAATGGGGAGTCTTTGGCACCCGTCCCTGCCTGTCTGTCTGCCTCTTCATCTGGGCAGCCCTCCATCTCTGCCCTGTTGGGCCTCTCAGGGTTGGTCAGTGTCTCTTCTTTTTCTGAGTTAACTTGACATAACCAGACAGATGGAAATGATAAAATTAGAACACAGCTTTTCTTTGGGGACATCCCACAAACACTGTAGAGTTTTTCCAGACAAAAGCAACAGAGTATATAATGTTGGGGGTTGTTGGCTATTCAGAATTCAGAGACGGTTCCAAGGACGTTGTAAATAAAGGCCAATATGGGGGAGAAGAAAACCTGTGAAGTAGGAGGCTGTTTGGTAACCCGCGATCAAGTTGGCCATTGCTGCTGTGATCAGCTGACGTTAAGGGTGACTCCGTCTGATGAGAAAAGACAGGCTGCTTGTTTTCATGCTGATGCCACATTTCAGGGAGCCTGAGAGCCTCTGAGCTCCCCAAGCGTCCCCGTCCCCGGAGAGGGACTGTGCTGCTCCTGGTGGGTTCTGGTTCATCAGCAGGAGAGGGAAAGACTGGGCCTGGCTCAAGGGGGCCACTGGCAGAGGGCAGGATGGCAGCGGGTGAGGGTGTATGCAAAGGCGGTGGGTCCCCGGCCACAGGTGGGTGCTGGATCTCAGCGGCTGAGGGGCAGCTGTGCGGTGCCCATGGACAGATGTGCAAGTGCCGGCAGCGTTAGTACTGAAAAAGGATGACCTGCAAGAGAAGAGCAAAGGAGGTGGCTAAGTGGGGCCTTCCCCTGTCGGCAGCCCTGGGGGATCCTGAGGCCTGGAGAGCCACGGTGGGCTCAGAGCTTAGATCTGGGCTTAAATCCCAGCTCCCGGTTTACTTGCTGTGAAACCTTGGGCAGCTCACGTCCCTTCTCCCCCGCTTTCCTCATGTGTAAATAGCGATGGCAAAGTCTCTCAGAACAAGAGCAGCAGCAGAGACCCACCATGTGCTTCACTCTGGACCCCATGGACATTTATGGTGCTTTCACTACAGCACGTTGCAGCTGATCTGTTTGATTATTTGCCATTTTATTAATCTCTGACTGTGCCCTGTTACGAACTGCACTTTATCATAGGTATATATGCGCAGGGTTCAATACGCGTCACAGCTTCAGGCATCCATATCCCCCGTGTACAGAGGACCACTGAAAAGATATTAGTAAGCAGCAGCTACTGAGCACCTTCTGCGCACTAGGCACACGTGCTTGGCTCTTCACGTTCTTGCTTCCCATTGCTACAGCATCGGAGGTGGGCATAAGCGATTATAGCCCCTTTTTAGCAGAGGTAGAAACTGAAGTTGCAAGAAGCTAACTGTCCTTCAAGGTCTTAGGGGGAGGAGGTGGCGGTTCTGGGACTCTGGGTCATCTGACTCCGAACTGCATACTACATTCTACTGTGCAGTCTTCCCTTCAGGTCTGAAGGGCACCTGGCCTTGAACTCTTATTGAAAAATGACTCTTGATCAGACTCTTCTCCTCCAAAGGCTGCATTTGATCCACGTGATTGAGGCCAGCTTTGTCCTGGCTTCTAAGACCTGTTTCAGTGCTAAAGCTGTGGCATCAGGGTATATGACCAGGAAGAAATGTAGTTCTGGAAACTTAACAGGTCTGTGGGGACCAAATGATGTTGTCATGGCGACAGGAAGCTCCACCCTGTCCCAGAGATCAGGGCTAGCCAGGCTAGCACTAGTCCACATGCGTGGACCAGCACCAAGGGGATTCCGGGTCTCCTCACAGGTTTCCCAGAAGGACTTGGGAGAAAACGAATACCTTCTTCTGCTGTCTGTCCTTCCCTACGGTTGTGACCCAGCAGACCTCACTTACATTCAGATGCAAGCAAGTGTGGCTGGCAGAGGTGCTTAGGAGCTGGCAAGCATGCTTAGCAGCAGAGGGTAGTAGAACATGAGGGAAGGACACAAACTGTACCACAGAGCTCCTGGCTATAAAGCTGGAGACACCGACCAACAAGAGAGATTCTGGCTCAACAGACAAACCTATAAGCCAAGAGCCCAGAGCCAAAGCTGCCATCACCCGGCCTGGCTCAGCTTTCAGGCTGAACCAGACACAACCACAGCTCAGTTCAGCATCTGAGAAACAAAGGCTCTCCTCTGAGCCTAACCGCGTGCACTTCCAAGGCTCCCCAGACTCAAACCCTTCACTCCACAGACCAGGCCTCCTGTGACATGGCCTCTTCCAGTTCCCCCTACCTCCCTGGGTCTCAGTCACACTGGACATGAGGGGTCCTTCCAGCTCTGCCTCCTCTATGCCTTTGCACCTGGTTCTTTTGACATGGATGTTCTTCTCTTCCCTGCCTCTCCCCTTGAGCTTGTCACTCCCTCTTCTGAATCCTCTGGGCCCAAGGTTGTTCCTCCTCCTATGTGCTCCATCATCCTGTAGCGTAACTTCCCAAACCTGGTCCAAACCACACAGCTCTTGAAGGCAGAGACCAGTGTTGGGTCTGAAAGGACAAAGTTCTCCAGCCCCAAGTCAGCGATGCTAAGATCCAGGTTAGCTCTGCCATATTCCCTGTGACCCTGGATGAGCTATTGCTTGCTTTGAGTTTCTACGGACTTGAAATGGAGGACATTATAAGCCCTATTCACAGGGAAGCCAAGAAACATGGGGTCAGAGAGAGTTCTGTATAAACTGTAGAATGCCACACAAAAACAGCAACGACTAAACCGTGCAGACTTCATATTCCAATACATCACTCTCCCAGGACAAATAGTTCCACCTCTGAATTTATTTCTCTGTCTTTCTGATGAAAAAGTCATGTCAGCCTGGCAAGGTGGTGCACGCCTGTATCCCAGCACTCTGGGAGGAAGAGGCAGGCAGATCACTGTGAGTTCGAGGCTTGCCTGGTCTACAAAGCAAGTCCTTGACAGCCAATGCTATACAGAGAAACCCTGTCTCAAAAACAAACAAACAAACAAACAAACAAACAAACAAATGGTCATGTCCAAACCAAAGGTGGCTGGCAGGTGTGTGTGTGTCAACCAGTGTGTATAGAATGCCAGCCTCAAACTGAGAAGGAGCTCAGCAGCCGCCACGCCAGCTCTCACTGTGGATGGGCAGCTCAGAGTGTGTCTTCCTGGAGTTGGCTCACCAGACTCTCGTGGAATATTACCATACTGTCCCACTAGGTTACCTGGACCTCCATCCTCCAGGCTTGCCTCACCCTCATGGTGCCCACTAGTGAGCCCTGCACACAGCAGAAAGCAGCAGCAGAAGACCTGCCCTGAGGGAGTGCTCTCTTCCCAGGGCAGCCCATCAAAATGACAAGAGCCGGGGTCACTCACACTGGCCTCTGTTGCTCCTCTTTTTCCTTGTCTTGGAGATCTACCCCTTCCCAGGCTGCCTCTGGATTCTGCTGGAATGGAGGGCTGCTGAGAGCCATGCACCCCAGAGCTTCCTGCTCCCCGTGTGATCACCCTATACTCAGTTTCACTGAGGACCATCACCATGTCCCTGCTTCCTGAGAAAGTCCAAATCCCCCTCATGAGCATCCTTAGGGCTTTGTTTCTTATCCCTTCTCCCTTGCCCAGGATCTGTGCCTGAATTACTATGTGGCACAGTAATTCTTTCCACATCTGGAACAAAGAGCTGTTTGGGAGTAACGGCTCTGAGGACTAACTATGCGGTGTGTCAGAATGGAAGTGATGAGTTCCCACCCACTCCTGCTTACACCTAAAGCAGTCTCAGCTACTTTCAACTATCATGTGGACAAGATTAAACAAAGCCACCAGACCGGGCGACATCTATGCACCCTTCAGGATATTCAGTATTATGCCTGGAGCAAGCAGAGATTCATGACCACAGAGAAGGCCCTGCCAGCTGACCCTGGGTCACAGGTGATCTGCTCTTCCTGGGTCCTACCAGCCCCAGATGGTTAGTTACTGCCAATAGTTACAGACAGAAATGAATAAATGAAGAAAGGGACATAAAACAGGATGTAGAATAGTGTGGGATGGAAACCCTCCCTCTCCTCAAAGCCTGAGTCAATAAGAAAGCCTCACTGCCAAGAGGTAGGGAGGACTGGGCTATAAAAAGGACTGCAGAGAAGTCAGGCACATGAAACACACAGGTAGCTGCTCTGATGACTGCCTTGGGGACACACTGGAGGCCTGAGTGATCGGCCACAGCATGGCACGGTACCCACTCAGTGACAGGGAATGCTACCAAATACCCATTCCCAGCAGGAAGGCTCTGACCCACCAGACACAGCCAGGCTCCATTTACCTTCTCACCCCGGTTGGAGAGCGGCCCATCCATATCGGCTTTGAGGTGGACAGGGGGTGCGGTGTAAGGCAGTCGGCAGTGCACCTGCCCGCACTGTACCTGACCTGTGGACGAGAGGATGCCTTGGAGCCCATTGCCCAGGCTCCACACAGGATCCCCACCTGCTGTGTGCTCCTCAAGCTGAAGCCTGCTCACTGACCCAGAGTGCTAGCTCTGGGTGGCTCTGGGGAAGGTCTCAACTGAGCTGGCTGCAATGCTGTACATGTGGCCCAGCTCACTGAGAAGAGCCCCTCCTGCACACAAGGATGTACCCACCTATGCGGATCCTCATCCACACACTGCATCACCCTGCTTATGAGTACAGCCCAACAAACAGCCCCTCTTCTCCTTCTGCACTTCATTTTTTTTTCTTGATTAGCCCTAATCACCTGACTTACAGATAATTTCACTGTTTATTTAATAGTGTCTCTTCATCAATTAGAATGCAGGTTCTATGACAGCACTTTTTTTTTTCTCCAAATCTTTCTCATTTCCTATTACTTAGGATGAGGTATGGAATATATAAGGCACATTTAAATTTTCTTTTATGAACATGGGTACACCGCTTACATGGCTTGTGCCCATGGAGAGCAGAAGAGGACACTGGATCCCCTGGAACTGGAGTTACAGATAGTTCTGAGCTGCCGTGTGGGTTTTGAGAATTGAACCTTATTCTCTTAAAGAACAGCATCTCTCTTAACTCTCCAACTCCCCTCCAGTAAGGTACGCTTTAAATTTTTGTTGAATGAACTTCTGTACCTATTCCAACATCTAAATCAGGAAAGTTGGATGGTGGTAGTGCGTGCCTTTATTCACAGCACTCCAGAGGCAGAGGCAGATGGATCTCTGAGTTCGTTCGAGGCCAGCCTGGTCTACAGAGTGAGTTCTAGGACAGTCAAGGCTACACAGAACTTGTCTTGAAAAATCAAAACTGAAAACAAACAGAAACAAAGAACCCCATTGAGGACAGTTCATCACTGTTCCATCTCTTTACCACTATAGCAAAGCTTTCGTTTGTCTGTCTCTTATCTAGATCCTGTCCTACTTGCTCACAGATAGAGCCTAGACAGACACTTGGAAGTGACAAGTAAGTTGGGATAAGTCGATGTGCCTTTCTGAGACACTATTCTCTCTTCTGCAGGGTAAGACAATCGTATTTAATTGAGGATTCTTAACTCCCTGGGTGTTCACAAAATCTCTGAACAGCTTCAAATTACTCAAATAACTGCACATCTTCTAGAGTCTGGTTCCAAAGTTTTTTATTATTATTTTAAATCAGATTCTAAGCACTGAATATAGTTGACTGCAAAGTAGAAGGGAATTTCCCCCACCCCCTGGGGTCTGCTTCTAAACCCTCTACTCAGTTTACATCTTTACAGTTTATAGTTTTCAGAAAACCCAAGACTCCATGCCTTAAGTTAACTGTAAAACAAGCTGCTGGGTTGTCTTTTTAGGCACGCAAGAGGTATGCTCTGATTCCGGGGAAAGAAGAAAGGAAAACACAGCTCCTGCTCTAGAAGCAAAAGACCCAGGCTTGATCAACAGAATATATGAACAGAGTCCTTATTTCAGTCCCAATAAGAGTCACCTAGAGCCATTAGCAACTCCATACCAAGTATTAGCTGGCTGCCAAGACCCCTGGTAACCAGAGTCCCCAGTCTTTGGCACCTTCAGTCAGTATTTAATAGGTTCTATTCAGGCGGAACATTAAGTCATTGTTTAGAAACAACAGGGAGAAAGTGTCCCTCCTGATGAGCAGAAGGTTCAGAAATGGAAGTGCAAAGAGAGACCGTTCCAGCTGGCAGCCTGGTGCAGCTGACAGGCCTCCACTCCTTGCTCTGCCAACCAAATCCGCAGCTAATGCTAAATGGGACCTTTAAGTCAGTTATCTCGGTCATGCTCACAGGACTGCTTTGAGGTGGCTATTCTCATTGTCCTTGTTTTTACAGATAAAGAAACTGGATGGTGGTCTAGTAAGCTAAGAAATTTGCCCAATGTCACCATGCTAGGAAGTGGCAAGGGTTGGGACTTGATCCCTGCCAGTTACACCACAGCCCACATTCAATCATTACAGTCCCTGGACCCTTTGGTTTCCTGGTCTGTGTGATGGTAGAGATTCAGGTGGCATCACCTCTGGCACAAGGCAGGTGCTCCATAAGCAACAGTTGTTTGAAAGAGAGTATGAGTGTGTATGCTCCCCACCCCCACTTTTTGGTCATACTCAGCTTTGAGGAAACGCCCAAAGAGAAAGAGACTCTGAAATAATCACCTGCTCAGGAGCGGATTCACTGACTTCTCATACCTCAGAAATCCAGGCCATGCCTTCACTCGTCCAGGTTCCAGCTTCAAGATCATTCCCCAGGACCCATCCACCCTTCTAGTGCTTACTGTTCCTATTGGGGCCATAGCTCAGTGGCATGCTGAGCTACCATGCTGTGAGCTACCATGCCCACTTGCTACCATGCCCACATGGACTCCGGGAAGGAGGGAGGGAGCCTGACAGACGGAAACAGAGAAATTTGTCTCTCCATTGGAATGTGATGAGTCCCAGGAGCGGTGCAGTTCTGACCTAGCTCTTGACTCTTGTATCTCGGTGCTAAGGACACAGGAGGCACTCAGCGACGCTCACAGTACTGCTTTGAGGTGGATGCCCTTCTCAATCAATTCTCAACATCCTCTGAGAGGCATTATCACGAGTCTAGTTCACAGATGAGGAAAACGGAAGGGTTCAAGGAGATTCTGTGACTGTCCAAAGGCATCACAGCGCTAGGTGGTCACGCCACTCTGGCCTCTGTTCCCCAAATGCACCCATGCCAGAGTGCCATACGAGCCGGGGCTTGCCCACTTTCAGGTCTCCCGGTCTATGTGGTCTATGTGCGTGCCTCAGCAAATCTTCCCCGTCCTTCGGAGCTCAGCTTTCTCAGAAGCAGTGCTCCTCCCGCTCCGGACACTCCCACCGAGTATCCTTCCTATAGGCAATGAAAACCTTACATACACCAGAGCCTTTTGTCCTAGGCTATCTTGCCCTTCAGAATGCAAGCCTCTTGGTCCCTACCCTCATTTCACGCACATAGATACTAGCTGCTTGAAGTTTTACTATTTGTTCTGTCTACCAAGGCCCCGACTCTCTGGGGAAGGGAGGGAAAATGACCCCCCCTCACAGCTTCATCCATCATGCTCCCAGAGGTACCCCCAATCCCGCAACGCCTTGAAGCCCTCGAGCACTTCTCAGTGTCCCCTTCCCAGCAGGCCTGGCGGCCCCAGAATCAGCATCACTTACTCTCGATGTAGCCGTGCAGGGTGACCATGCGCGCCCGCTCTGGGCTGCTGAAGGGAGAGTAGTGGATGTCGTCGGACAGGGCGGAGGGAAGGCGGGACGGGGGCGCCCCTGAGGGCGGCACCGGGTGCTGCGGTGTATGCTTTTTATGACGCGCTCGGCAGTTTTGAAACCACACCTGGAACGACAGCCTCCGCAATCTCAGTAATCAAGGAAACCTCAGGCCACGCCGGAGAGGGGAGGCCCCAAGCACCCGCGACCCTCCGCGCCGCAACGAGCTCCAGCGCTCGCCCGGACTCGAAGGCCCGCCCCGGACTCGAAGGCCGAGACCCCGGAGCCCCACCTGAATGACCCTGCGGCTGAGGCCCGTCATGTCCGCCAGCTTCTGCAGTGTCTGAGCGTCGGGGTTGTTGTCCTGCGCGAACTGCGCCTGCATAACCTGCGGGGCGCACAGGGGCCCTGAGACCTCCGCCCAATCAGAGGCTCGGGGCCCAATCAGAAGCTCGCCCCAGGCAGCTTCAGCCCGGGTGCGGCCTCCCGCCGGTCCTAGCACGAGGGGGTGGAGCCAAAACTCCCGCGCAGCCACGCCCACCTAGAGGCCCCGCCCACAGCCTGGGTGCTGTCTGGGAGGTGGGCGGGGTGTGGGTGGGGTACCTGCAACTGCTCAGCGGTGAAGGACGTCCGTGCGCGCTTGGCCGGCTTGGGCTGACTGTCCTGTTCTGAGGGCACCGCCCCCTCCAACGTGAGACCGTTCCCTGGGGGGCGACAGAAGCGGCTGACCACGCGTCCCCATCTCTTCTAGTGGCAGCCTGGAAAGGACGGGGTGGGGGGGAGCTTGTCCCTGGAAGGGTCAGGAGCGAGGTGGCTGGGAGCGGGGATCCCAGGGCCCTAGTCCCAGAGCCCAGAGCTTCCTCTGGATACTGTCACCCACTTTATAAGAGAGGACCCTAAGGCTCGGAGAGAAGAAAGCTCCTGACTGGGAACCCCAAATCCTCTGTCTCCAAATCTGGAACCCGGCTGACCCTAACATCAGTCCTAGCTAAACTGTGGGGAAACCGAGGTGGAGATTTAAAAAAACTAAAACTAAAAATAAGAAAAGCCCGGGTGGCAGAAGCGATAGCCCCAATTTCACAGAAAGAAGCGGAAGAGGAAAGGTGGGAAGGCTGAGTTCCTCAAGCAGTGACTGTGGTGACTTTTTACTTTCAGTATTTCAGAACTTTCTTAAAATATATATATATATTCTTTTAGGTTTTGGTTTTCTCGAGGCAGGGTTTCTCTGTGTAGCCCTGGCTGTCCTGGAACTTGCTCTGTAGACCAGGCTGGCTTTGAACTCAGAGATTCATCTACCTCTGCCTCCTGAGTGCTGGGACTAAAGGCAAGACTCACGCCTGGCAACTTTTGAAGTATTTAAAACAATTACATTTTACCTTCTCCAAAGCATAATTTATTAACTGGGATATAAAGGTGTCATCTTTCTGTTTTGTAGTACTTTGGCAACTATGATTGTAAACTAGCAAATATATTTCTGTTTTAGCACTTTGTTTTTCTGAATACAAAAATATTATACTGTTCTTATAAAAAAAGTCCAAAACCCTGTCAAGAGCAAAAAAGAAGGAAAGTCACCAATCACTCCACCACTCAGGGGTAACCACTGCTCAGTTTGTTGTGATGTCTTAATCAGGAGGAAAAACTATGCTGAAGGAAAAACTACATGCACAGAGGGAAAACTGGAAATGTAAACAGGGAGATAATGGCATTTGTAATGACCTCAAAAAAATTTTAACCACCTCTCTTCATTTCTCTATAATGAATGTGTGTTGCTTTTGTTTAAAAGAAAAGCTAATAGCTAATGCTGGTGGTCAGTGACCTGAAGCCCCAAGTGTTTAAGTTCCCCACATAGGATGGTCTTGGCAAAACCATGGCTGAGGGGTGGCCCTGGGTGGTCCAGGAGTGAAAGGAGCCTGTGGTTTTCTGATTAACGCAGAGGAAGCTCTAACTCCTGAGTTTCCATCCCAGCTCCACTGTCAACTTGCCAAGCACTACATGCAACTTCTCTGTGCCCCAAGGTCAGTTGCTCCCCACTTATCTACTGAGCCTAGCAGGAGAAAGTGATGACCTTGGTGAGGCCATGGCTGACTAGCCTTCCCACTAATGCTAGAAGCTGGGGTAGGGTGGTCCATGCCCCCCCCGACCAGAGGAGCTGTGCGAGATTACTATTCCAAGAAAAGCAGTCAGGCTGAGAGTTAGTGTGCCTAGTTTTTTAGATGGATAAAATGAAATTCAGAGGCAGTCCCATCCCAGGAGCCTCCTGGCTGTGGAAGGGGGTTCTGGAGCATGGGGATGAGGTGATACAGCGTGGTATGGTGGATGGATTATGGATTATGACTTTGGTGAAGCCATAGCCGGTAACGCTCTTCTGATCCCTGACTAGCCTTCCCACTAATGCCTAGAAACTGACCTAAGATGGAATTCTTTTTTCTCTTTGGGCCTCTTCCTGTCCTACCTCTGTGCAAGATATCTAGATGTTGGATTAGAATGTTCCTTGTATCTCCTCTGGGCTCTGACCTGATTTTCCCAAGACATGTACCCCAGGGTCACTGGTGCAGTATTATGGTAGAAACTGAGCTTCACCCCCGCCCCCATCCCCCAGCAAACCTACCAGATGTAATGTTTGGCAAGGTGCATACCACAGATAAGCTCTGCCTCATCTGTTAGCATTGTATGGTGGAGCTCCAAGACTGGGGGACTGGTCCCTTTTAAACTTTTCTATTCAGAACTTCTGATCCAGAATGACCCACCCTTGGCTTAACGTGGCCCAGAAGGAAGTGGGAAGAATGCGAGATACGTTGTATCTCTGGGACTGTGCAGGCAGCTGGCCAGTGGGGCGGGGTGGGATGGTGGTTACCCCGCAGGCCAATGATGGAGTTGGCTGCCTCAAGGACCGTGAGAATCTCTCAGGGGTAGGCAGTGACTCGGTGGCCCGCACACAGGATGGAGCCACAGCGCATGCCCCATGCTCCAGGAGCACCCCTCCCCCCTGCCTTCAGGTGGTCCAGCCGGAACAACCTCGCAGACTAAATACCTAGGTGCTAGGGCAGGTGGGGCAGGACTGGGACTTGGTGCAGGGCGGGTAGAGCGGGCTGGGTACCGTTCTCGGCGGCCCTCTTGAGGTTCTCGATCATGGTGTCGTAATGGATGCGGCAAAGCACCTTCTCCTCAACCAGGCCGAACTCCTCGCCGGTGGACAGCTGGCGCTTGCAGGAGAAGCAGGCGAAGCAGGCCAGGTGGTAGGCATTGCCGCGCGCCCTCCGCACCCAGTCACTGGCGTAGATTTGGCGGCCGCACCGAGCGCACTTGGTTCCGAATCGGCTGCGGGACAACAAGGACCAGGATAATAAAGTTCAGACCGGGCGTCCTTCACCTGCTCAGGGCACACATCGCCCGGGGTTCACCTGGCACTTAATGCCACCCCAGTTCATTACTAGTTCCACCAAAAAGGTAATCGGGGGAGACGTTTTTATTTTCTTCGTGCTTTACTAAGTTTTTCAAATGTTCTACAACAATCACTTACCGTTTGTCTATTTGTTTATTAGAAAACACTACGGATGTTAGGAAAACACATCAGTACTAACAGGGAAAGTTCTGAACCTCTCCTGCCTTGCAGGACTCTACTGATTCACAGAGTTCGTCTTATTTCTCATTATGCAGAGGAGGAAATTGGGAATGCAGGACCCAGAATAAGTTTCACTACACCACACCTCTCCCAAGGATAGGGACCCTAGCATGCCTGACTCCAAAGGTGAGGCTCTAACCCCAGCTTTTCCTAGAACACACCTACGTTCACGCACTGACTCTATGCCCGTACACATATCATTGAATTGCTCTGGCTTCCTATTTTCCTTGATCTGAGCTGAAAAGATGATCACAGCAATGAGTGCTAATATTTATTTAGTGCCTATCAACCAAGGACCCAAGCAGTCCTGAACTCTGTCACTCATGATATTCTACTACTAAATGGAAGAAAGAAGGGAAGGAAGAAAGGGAGGAAGGGAGGAAGGAAGGAAGGAAAGAAAAGCCCTAGATCAAATGTCCCCTGTCCCTAAGTCTCTTTTTCTATTCTGCCTGTCACTCTGTCTTTCCTCTTCTTTCTTCTCTGGAAGGGGCCTTTAGGCACCCACAGCCTGGGTCAATAGACTGGGAGTCCCTCCAGGAAGCAGCAGAGCCTAGTTCACCTTGTGCCCACGCCCTGAGCACCAGGGGAAGTTTGCTTTTACCCGGTTGACTCACCTGTGACTGTCCTAACCCTTCAGCCTGTTTGCTCTGGCACAGTCTGTTCAGGAGACATGGCCACCACTCACCCAGCCCTCCAGCATGGATATTAGAACCTCACACTCTTGCCTTCTAGCCCACAGCCAGCAGCACCTCCAGCCAATGAAGTGAATCTCTGGGAGGCTTCACCTTCTCTTCATCTCTCCTGCTGCCCTTCTAGGCCTGCTTCCTTCCCATCAGGCTCCTCTCACCACCCTATCTGCCCTTGCCTCCTACTTTCCGGTACTGGTCTATCAAGGGATCACCCACACCGTACTTGGCAGCAAAATTTTCAGCATGCACACAGAATCTTCTCCCCTGACCTGCTTATAGTCTTTGGTGGAACCACACCATCCAAGATGCTTCAGATGTACAAAACCCAAGAGGCCACATCCTCCACAAAGCCACCTCTTTCCTAGTCTTCAGTATCTCCCACTCTATACTCAACCATGAGTCCCAAGCCACAATGGAAGCTCATTTTCAGTCTTTTGTTCCTCTCTCCACCCCCAGCATTTTCCCACCCCCAGGCCCTTTGCAGACTGTTTCTGCCCTGGACATGTCTGTCCATCAGCGGACGCTGTTCTTTAGAGTCTGGGTCTTCGACTTGCCCCTTTCATCCTTGGCATTCTTAGAGATGGGGCAAGTATACAAAAAGGATTTGTGTTTCTGCCCCAAGGGCAGAAATGTACCTCTCCATTGGAAAGTACATTCACATTACCTGTGTGTGGCTAAACAGCCCAGCAAAATTCACTCCAGTTACAATATGGTGTTGCCCGTTTGGGCAAACTCAAGTAATTGGATGTTGGTAAATGTTGCAGAACATTGAGTCAGCTCAGGCTCTCACACAAACTCCACAATGCCACTCTCTCCTCTCTGGTACAAGGAGAGTCCAGGGACCCTGCCCAGGCCTCTAGGTTTTCCCAAACTGAGTTTAACCCTTTGCCTAGTCAAACACCTTCCCCGACCCGAGAGATGCTTTTCATGGCCTCAGAAATCTTGGCTTCCCAGGGAGAAGAGTCCAGACCAGTCTGTGGTCTCTGTTCCTTGTCCTTCAGAAAATGGAGATGAAACCTTCGTGCCAACACCCCACCCCCCAGCCCTGGTGGTGGTAGCCTCAGTGGAACCATGTTCTAGCTGCCCATGGGAGGCTGGCTTTCTATTTTTTGTACTGTAGTGCTTTGGAGTAACCAAGCAAGCAGCCTTTCCCAGATCCTTGGCTTCCTGCTAAGGCCCCCTAGATCAATATCTTCACTGTACCCCACCGTCTTTGCTGAAACCGGTGAGGCGCAGATTAGAAACTCATTTTCCACACCTGGAGCCGGAAGTTCAAAACTAGCAAACGACTTATTCCAGACAATATGGAGTGTGTGGTGGAAGCTGAGGTCCCCTCGAGGTGTTGAAGGACCTAGAACCTGCTTGGGAGCAGCTGAACTGGAGATGGGGACGCCTGGCATCCCAGTGGGGGACAGTACCGGGCCTCGTCTAATGCTGGTCCACCTCTGGAGGGATTCTGAAAGTGCAACCTGGGAGATCAAGGAAAAGCAGAGCAGGAAAGGGCTGGCTCTCAGAGCAGCCACCTTTGGCTCTCAGGCTGTGGTCCTCTGCACCCAGAACATTCAGTCCCCACAGGTGGGTCCACGGGATTCCTGGTCCTGGTCTCCCTGAGAATCCCTGGTCTTCCTGACTGCAAGTCTGACTTCGGTGCCTATACAGCTGGGTCACAGAGCCCCCGCGTCCTAGCTGCTGAGCAAGCGGTGCCTGCAACTCACCCACCAGCAACTTCATCTCATTGCTTCTAAGTCTTCAGCCCTAAATTGAAACGCCCAGTCAATGAAACCACCCTCCTCGAACGAGACCCTTGACAAAAAGGTGTCGTTACCCGTATTTGGATGTATTCAGTCCGGAGATACAAAGTGTCCTCAGGACCAGGGGTAGTCCCACAACGAGAGAGCGAAAGAAAGCTAGCACCCGGGTCTGACAAACTGAGAAATTCCTGTCTAGACAGGCTGCGAGGCTCCAGCCGCTCCTTTACGGAAGCAGCGAAAAATCATCGGAGGAGACAACGAAACTTCAGGAAAGGGATGTTTGGGTGCCGTAGCACCCTCACCCGCGCTGTGAAATCTGGATTCCCTGCGGGTCCCCACCAGGTCCCAGCACACCGCGGGCGGAGACCGAGACGCAAAGGGCCGAGGCGATGCGCTTAGAGAACGGGAAGGTACCCGACCCGACGCTGCGAATTCCAGAATCCCAGCAAAAGTGTTACAGAGAGACAACGGTGGAGAGTAGAAAGCCGGATCCGCCCGGTTTCGTAGGCGGAACGGCATCGTTGACCAGGTGAAGCTCATTGAAGGTGCTCTGCTCCTAATTATTTGTTGAGTGAAACAGCTCCTAAAAATGAGCCCTTTGCAACCCCCGCCCCCACCCCGATCCCGCCACGCCGCCGCTGCCTGCTAAATTGCTCCTTTCTACTTGGAGAATCGAAGTTCAGGGTGGGGTCTCCTACATTTAAGACCGAAAGAAACTAGAGTTCGCTTGTTTGGGGTTTAGGCTCTCAAGAAAGAGAGTCACAGATTTCTCGAGGCAAACAAGGAAAACTGGACGTGAAGCCCTTCCTAGTCCCTCCTTCCCTTCCTGTCTACACAAAACCTTTAAAAAGAAAGGGGGTGCAGAACCAGCAATTAAGAGGTTAAGCAGCAGCCTGAGCCTGCCTGGGGGTCCTGGCCTGAGGCTCCTTCTTTCCCAGCTCTCCTCTCCGTTCCCCCAACATCTATCCCCCCCAAACAGCTGGTTGCTGCTGGGCCTCTCTGCACATGGTGGGGGGCTAGCTTCCAGACTCTCAGCCTCTCTTGGGACCCCAAGCTCTGAGGAAAGGGACTAAAGTCCAGGGACACACCTAGGGCTCAAGGTAGAAGGTCAAAAAAGGCTGGAGGGCTTCCCCTCCCCCCCCAGCGCTGTGAGCCAAGCAGGGAGCAGGAACTTCAGCCAGTCCTGGAACCCCAAGTCCCCCAACCCTATCCCTATAACTCTTTGTTCCCCACTCCCATTGTCAAAGAGCAAAGGAATAAGGACCAGGGTCCTTGGTCTTGGGAAAGTTGCTGGTTATTGACTTCTGAAGAGATTTCTTCTGTCCTAGTGTGCCTGGGGCCACACAAGGAGAGTCACACATCAGGGCGTATAGTGGGAGCTCTTTGTGAGAATCAGGAAAAGTGGGTGAGAACTACAGGAACAGCAGAGCTTTTGTCATTCCATATGCCTTACAATTGCATTAAAAAAAAAAAGTGGCAGACACATCTTGACTGTAGAAGAAGCATATGGACACTCAGAGGAGCCAGGTGCCAGGAGCATCACCACTGACTGGCTCAATGACCTTACCCTTGAGGGCTTCAGTTTCCCATGACATGGGGATGCTGACAGCATGATACAGGGTGGAGCACATGACTAAATAAGATACAGGATACGGCAGATAAAGGGATTGGTAGCCTCACTCTGCGCTCTCAATCTCTCCTTGACCCTACTCTTTTTTTTTTTTTTTCCTAGCACACAGGTCTTCTCTACTACATAATGGGCACAATGCTCTAGGAGGCCAAGGGAGCCTTGTGAGCACTGCCAGAAGGCCACTGGGCAATAGTTGTAGGTAGGTAGATCAAGGGGCTATAAGAACTGCCCTGGGGTGTGGTTGCTGATGGCAATTAAAAAAAAAAAAAAAAAAGAATGCTCTTAAAAGGAACATTCCTACACACACACACACACACACACACACACCCCAAAATGTTCTTCAGTTCTTGGGGTGGGGGAGGCATGGGGAAAATGGTCTCAGCAAGAAAGTAAAGAAATTAAAATAAATCCTGCTTCCCTGTTGGTGATTTTATGTGTCTGCCAGTACTTGCCAAGAGTAGGGATAGAAAATCAAGTTGAACTCATAATAGCTAGTGAGTTCCTTGTTTGGAGAATAAACTGGGAAAACAGAGGCAAAATGTCCAGAACCTGTCCAAGGCTACAAAATGAGGGAACCAATTGCTCCCTCCCACAAGTGCAAATAAGCCAGGAGTCGCGCCAGACTCCCCAACTTCTCCCATGCTTTGCAACTTCCCTCCCAGCTGAACTTGGAGTTTCTTGAGCCACCAACACCGTTTGGCCAAAGGAAGATAGAGTTAGGGAAGGGGGAGGGAGAGGGTGAAATCTGGGATAAAACATTTTCGTGGGGACAAGGTCAGAGGTTAAAAGCTTCTGGGAGCCCAAAGTGTCCATTCCTTAGAGCTCTGGCCACGCTCTACCTCCCCACTCTCCTCTACCCTGTTGGAAGATCTTGCCTTCCTTTGGCAGAATACTTTAGTCCACACCCCATCAGACCCTTGACCCCTGTTTCAGGAAACAGAGGCCTGGAGAAGCATAGCTGGCCTTCTCTAAGCCACAGCTCTCTGCCTCCCACACACCATTATTCGGCCCTCTCTGGGAAGAGTCTGTGCTGCTGCTCAGGCAGACAGACAATAGTCCTTGCCTGATGCTCTGCAAGCTTTCTCTTTCCCTTTCTTTGGTTTTTATTATTTTCGTTACTGGTGAGGGTGCCAGAGAAGACTCAAGCCTGCTCCGAGACCTGGCAGGGAGAGAAAGGGGTCTGAAAATTCACAAAATTCAAAATTCAAATTCAAATTCTGCCTTCATTTTGGACAAAGTGAGATTTTATTCACTCGACTTTCGATAATTAAGACCTGGCTTGTTGTGAGAGCTCCTGTCTTTGGAAAAGGATTATCAGTCAGAGCCTCTTCCCAGAATTGAGCCACCGGGACAAGCAGACCCATTTCTCCAGGCTGCCTGGGGAAATGCCATCACAGGTCCATGCCTGGCGCCCACTCTCTCAGCGACCATGATCGTGATAACCGAGCATTCACAGTCACTGCTATTTATGAGCCTTTATGGAGACTGCTTCCTCTTGGTGGCTTCCTCGGCAGCTCAGAGACTGTCTTGGGAAAGAAACATTCAGAGCAGAGCTGCTGTGACTTGCCCAAGGTGATAATTAGCCTCTCAGAGCTCCATCTCCTGCCTCTTCGCAGCCTGGTTGCATGCGCCCTCCACCATACCAGTACAGCGCAATGGGGAATTAGTGGGGGCTCTAGAGGATGGAACCAAGAGCCTAGTTTTGACTAGTCCTTCAAGGTCTCTTAAAACAGGCCATCTAAGGAGTCTCAGTCCAGCACAGAGATAAATGGAAAGGGATTTGGACACAGGATAAAACTTCCTGGACTTTTGTCATATGAAAGACAGAAGGGACCTGCCCAGCTTTATTCTATAGAGGAAGGACACTGTCTTGAGCTTCCCCTACAATCCCCCCCACACAGCTGACACATTCAAAAGGACCCCCAAACAGTGCCTCCCCATTCCTAATGGAAGTTAGGCCTAGAGTAGAAGGTGGCTAGAAAGTGATTGTAATATCCATTTCCTGCCTAACTAAACCAATAGAACTGTCAGAGGAGACAGTAGGAGGAGACCTACCTCACAGTCTTGGCCACACAGCACACAGGCGCAACCTCCCTTTGTCTATGTACACGCACAGCAGTTGTCAGCCAAAAGTGCGTGTCCACACCACACCCTTCTCCACCTCCGAAGAGGGTGGAGGTGGAGAACGACAGTACAATCCTCTCACATCCCGACCCGGATGTGCTCCCTGCCCCAAGCACCTTGCAAGCCACGTGCGGGGTGGGGCTGGGGGAGCCCGCACATTGCAGAGTTTCAGCAGTCACATGCAAGACCTAGACTTTCAACAGCTGCACGCGAACAGAAAGCCACACGGTTTGCTCTAAGGGAACATACCCGCTGTCCGCGTGCCCTGACCCTGCACCTCTGCGGCCCCTGCAGGTTCCAGACCATACAGACACAGGGTCCGAGGACGGGCAGGAGAGGCACCGCATCCTCATGACTTGGGGGAAGTGCCCGCCTCCTAGCCATGCTTCTCCTGGCTTCTCAGAGAACGGCACCGTCTACCAACTTCTTCCTAGGTTCAAGACTTCTTTCTAGGTCCCTGGAAGTTCAAAGAGGGCGAGGGTCGCCACCCACCACATTCCCTGACTCACAAGCTTTTGGGGGCCGAGGTCTTCTCTGGAAGACTGAGTCAAAACGTCTTCTCTTGAAGAAGTGTGTGTGTGTGTGTGTGTGTGTGTGTGAGAGAGAGAGAGAGCGAGAGAGAGAGAGAGAGAGAGAGAGAGAGAGAGAGAGAGCGAGCACCACAGGACAGCTTTCTCCACTTCCGGAGAAAGCATTTGGAAGAAGGTGTTGCTCCTTGCTCCGAGGAACCAATTCCGCACCATACTCCAGCTTCCCGCCTAGATCTGTCAGATCCTTCCCCGTGCCCCTGGGCACTGCGGTGACCTCGACCCCATGACCAGGTCAGCAGGCGCCTGCTGCGTGGCTAGAAGCTAGGCGCCTGCTAGACGTTGAGGAACCATGAAACCAGCAAACACGGATCGTGAGCTTTCCAAAGTACGGCGGCAGAGTGTAGTTCAGCGGAAGACAACAGCGCTCCGAGAGCGAGAGTGGGTCCCGGAGGCCCAAAGCTAAAGCCTAGACCCAGGCGGGGCTGAAGCCTGCGCGGAAACGATGGCCCAGCAGCGGCCTGGGATCAAGGCATGACCCCAGACTCAAAAAGCGACCGGGCGGAGGCCGAGATCGACGCTGCTGGGTAGGACTGAGCGCTGGGATCTGGGCTAGGGCGCTCGGGGGGGCTGGGGCAGACCTGAGCCCCGACTTGAGAGCAGAGCTAAGAGAGTCGGGACCTCAGGCTTGGATCCCTCCCAGCGCAGGCCGCGCCGCAACCGGAGTTGAAGCTGGAGCCAGAGCTGAGCTCTCTGGACAAGCAACCGGGTGGCGGCTAGGATCCGAACCGATCCGGGCCCAACAGATCTCACCCGGAGCACGAGACTCAGAGAAGCCCAGAGATGGGGCCAGACCCGCGGACGGGGCCAGCCGGGGCCTCGGGAACCCGGGCGGATGGGCCGCCCGCCCGCGCTCGCGCTGGCCCTGGCGCTCGGCCTGGAGCCCTGCGCGTAAGAGGCGCCGAGCAGGAGGGCCGGGCCGGCGCGCCGAGCCGCGGGCCGCCCCGGGACGGCAGGCCCCGGCCGCCGGGGTCCTAGGCCGCACCAGCGTCCCGGACGGGCAGCCCCAGCCTTGCCGGCCCGACGGGCCGCTGCCTACCTGAAGTAGTCCATCTTGCAGTAGATCTCCTTGTTCTTGATGTAGCAGCTGTTCTGCTGCCTCAGCGACGTGCGACACACCGAGCACTCGAGGCACCGCACGTGCCAGATGAGGTTGTTGACCTGGGGAGGGGGGCGGAGGTGGGGGGGTCGGCTCAGCGAGGGACTCTTGCGCGCCCGCCCCCCCCCGGCCTCCCCATTTGCAGAGAGAGAGAGAGAGAGAGAGAGAGAGAGAGAGAGAGAGAGAGACTGCGGCTCAGAAGGGGCGGAAGGCTTCCCTCGTTTTCCTCGGTGACACGGAGGCTCAGGGAAACCGAAAGGCCACCCTTCCCGCGCTCTCTCTCTCTCTCTCTCTCTCTCTCTTTCTCTCTCTCGTGGGAACCCGGGGCAGGAGGAGACCTCCCACCCCTGCCCAAAGCTGCGCGGTCGGCCGCTCGGCGGTTGGCGCGGGGAGGGGGCCCGGGTGAAGCGGGCCTGGCGGGGGGGCACTGCCTCCCTCGCGGCCGCGGGCAGCCCCTAACCGGGACTCACCTTGAGCAGATAGCGGTCCAGGATCTCCAGGCCGCAGCTGGAGCAGATGTTTTTGCCCGCGGACGGCACGGAAGAGGCGGCAGAGGGCGGCGAGCAGACGGACGGCGTGCTGGGCGTGCACGGGGAGGCCCGACCCTCGTCCTTGTCCAGCGCGCCCGCCAGGGCCTCGGCTTCGGACTGAGCCTGAGGTGGGCGACAGGAGCGGCGGAGGGAACGCTTAGCCCGGCCACCCAGGGCAGCCGCCGCCCAGACAGAGCGGCTCCCCCTGCGCACCGACTGACAACGAAAACTGCCAGGGACGTCGCGCCCCGGGCTGGAGGACAGGGATGAAAGGACCTATCGGGGAAGAAGGGACGGGGGGGGACCCCCAACTTTTAACACAACAGCGCATTCTCGGTGCGGGGAGTAGCCAAGGCTCATCCTCCGGGCCAGGGAATCCCGGGCTCGGCGAGAGGCGGCTCCTCCAGGCAGCTCTCCAGCGCGGGGCTGGAGGGTGGCAGCCGGGAGGCTGAGCCGGAAGCCCCGGCCTGTGCTGGTGGGGGGCACGGAGAGCCGAGAGCAGAGCCGAAGGGACTCACCATGGCTGGCGGCGCGGTCCCTTCGAGACAGCGGGTGGTCGCTTTGCAGCCGGACCCTGGCTGGGCCATCACCTGGGGGAGGGGGAGGACAGGCAGGCGACGGCGGCTGCTGAACCGGCTCGGAGCTGTCAGAGCCCAGCGCCTCCCCGCGCCAGTTATATAAACCGGCGCCGAACAATGAGTCCTAAGTTTGTAGTGGGCATTTAACGCCCTTCCCCACAAAAGCGGTGTCTCTCTAATGAAGCAATTTGAATTTGGATTGGGTTTTTTTCCCTCTCTCTCCCCCTCTCCCTGCACTTAACCCGTGGCTCTTGAAGTAATCGCTTAGTTCCTTTGCAATCCAAGCCTCTGAGGGGGGAAAAAAAAAACCACGCGCACACACACAAACTACCTGCAATTAGAAATTGTCGTGAATGCCCAAGATAAGAGGTAGCCAGAGTGTCAATTCCAACTGTCAATCAGTGAGATCCATCAGGCCGCCCAAAGAATTGCAAATTTGATTTTTTAATGGTAGTAATTAAAAATCGAATTTTTTCTCCCTCCGCTCCCCTCCCTTCTCCTACTCTCGCCACAAAAATGCAAAAAAAAAAAAAAAAATAGAAGAAGAAGAAGAAGAAGAAGAAAAGAGAGAAAGACAGAAAGAAAAGAAAAAGGAGATGGGGGGGGTAGTGGTGGTGGTTGAGGAAAATAAAGCCCAGAGCGCGGGGAGCGCCCGCCCGACGTGCGCCGGGCAATTGAAGCGGGGATATTGACACCGATTCAAACGCCTTCGGAGGACCGGTCCGGGGGAAGCCCCGAGCCAGGGAGGGCGAGATCGCCGGGCGAAACGAGGCCAAAAAGGGGAAAGTGGGGCCTCTCGGAGGAGGAGGGCGAAGCCTCCAGAGCGCCGGAGCGCCCGGGACCGGCCCCGCACCGAGACCCCGAGCGCGGCGGCGGCGGCACAAGCCCCGGCGCATCGGCGCTATCAGCGCCTATTCAGACGGACAATGCCGGCCTCGCCTCCTCCTGATTCGCCTGTGTCTTTGCTAAATCGCTTTTTGAGAAATTCCTCTAACATTTGCATAATGCGTTCCCGCTTTCCGCGACCCCCCCACCCCCCTTCCCGCTCGCGCACTCACACACTCGCGCGCACACACACACACATACACACACACACGCACGCACACACGCTCCCGGGCTCACCCAGCACCCCTCCTCCCGCCCGCCGCCCGCCCGGCCGGGCCCCCCGCCGGCCCGGGGTCCCCGAGGCCCGCTCGCTCACCTGGTCGGCGGCGGGGCCGCCCTCGGCCGGCAAGCGGCAGCCGTCCGGCAGCGCCGGGGCGGCGCTCTCATGCTTCCAGTACATGGGCCCGGGCGCGCGGGGCTCGGCGGGCGCGCGGCGCCGAGCGGGGCAGAGGCTGCGGCCGCGGAAGCCGGGCTCCGGCCGCGCCGCCCCGGGCCCAGCCTCGGCCCCCGGCCCCGGCCCCGGCGCAGTCCCGGCCTCCCTGGCCGGCCGCGCCGCCGCCTCCGGAGAAGGTCCCGGCAAACTTGGAGAGGTCCTTGCAGCGGCTGCCTCTGCGGCCGCCGCCGCCGCCTCCTCCTCTTCCTCCTCCTCTTCCTCCTCCTCCTCTCCCTCCTCCCCGTCCTCCTCCTCCCCTTCCAGCTGCGGCGACGACCGCCCTGCCGCTGGAGCCCCGCTCCGTTCAAGATGAGTCATGCGTGACCAATCCCCTCCCCGCTAAGGAGAGCGAGACGCTCGCGGGGAGGCAGAGACTCGGAGACGTGCGCGCCTGGAGACGCGCGGAAACTCGGAGCCGCGGGGAGACTCTCGGGCCGCGCTGAGCGACAAAGACGCCGGCGGGCACACATCCTCCCGGCTCCCGCTGCCGCCCCTCCCTCGGGGGCGCCCACCGCCCTCGCACGGCGCGAGGAACCGGTGCTCGGCCCAGCCCCGGGGCTGGACTCCACGCGGAGCCGCGTTCTGTTGAGGCAGGGCTCACCCGGGTCCCCCCAGGTCCCAGGCGTCTACGCACGCCCCACACTCCTGCAAGGACACCTCCGCTTCCTAACAGCCAGAGCGTGTGCCGGCTTCCAAGGGCTGAACACTGGGGTCAGGGCAAACCGTGCTGGTGGCAGTGGGGGGCGGGGGTGGTTCCTCTGAATTCTTTTGGGAGGAATTGCTTGGGACATCCACCTTTAAGATTTACTCTGCATTGCTCTCTACCTTCTACAGGGATCTGATGGTGATGATGGGGAAAAGACAGAGACCCAGACGTTTGGAGAGGAGGCGCAGACCCCAAAACACAGAACCCTCCAACTCAAAGGTCCTTACTCTGACAAGCACAAATGGACTTGTCTAGCCTCAGCTTTCTTCCCCACACGCAGACGGTGCGGGAGAAGTGTGTACCTGTGCACACTCAGATTTGGATCCGGTCCTGCCTAGCCCAATAGCCCACCCACCACACAGACCACCACCTCCCTAATTGCCCTCGTTTACAAATGTAAACAGCACCCCCTCAGCCACGCGGCCACTGGTGCACACAGCCATGGTCAGGAGAGTCCAGGCTCCCGTGGAGCTTCAAACTCCGTGTGACCCCTGCTCTGTTACCCGGCATCTTTTACAGGGGCTGAGTCAGGCACCAGGCTTATGAGGAAGCCGCACACACCTTTGCAAAACAAACAAACAAACAAACAAACAAACAATGTTCGCAGCCGTCAGCCTCCATCTGCACAAACAGCCAGAAACACAGACAGACAATGTCGTCTACACACAGTCAAGTACTGAAAAGCCACCTCCCAGCCCTTAGAGACACGGATTTGCTCCTTCAGGCAGAAGCAGCCCAAGCTAATGGCATCAGCCCTTGCATTCCAGTAATTGGCTGCTCCTGGGCACAGTCACTGAGAGAGAAAAGGGCTCTGAACCAGTCTGTTATAGCAAAGAGGAGGGCAGATGACACCGTGGAAACAGGTGAGGTGTGTACATGCCCAAGTCAAGCACACACACATACTACTATGCCTGGATGCTTTAATCCGGGCATTAAAATGCTAAGCATTTCACAAGATGATCTCATTTTCCTCTGGGAGGCAGCATTCCCTATTGGTACCCATTCCACCCACTCTAACTGAGGTTTAAAGCGATCGTATCCATCCTAGTCCGCATGACTTAATAACCACCACAGCCGAGAACTCAGAACCAGGTTCCTCCACAGAGGCTATGACCTTGATTTCTAGGCCGTCCCCGTGACTGTGACCACTCATGGTGAGCACGTGCATGCACGCACACACGCTTTCCACATTCTGCCAAAAGCCTGGCTATGACTTCTGGCTTGAAGGCAATGATGGAAGAACAACAGTACTGTGTCTGTGTCCCTCCTCTCCTCTCCTCTGGGTGGCCCGGGAAGTCCAGAGGCCAATACACAGAGCATGACATACATAGGAGTCCAAAAAGACGAGGAGGCTTTTGTTGCTGCCCCAAAACTTCTTAGGAAAGGGAAGACCAGAGGAAACGAAACGGCAGTTGAGGTTTATGTGGTTTGGGTCTGGGTAGACAAGTGAAGGCAATGGTCCAGTGGCTGGGCAATCAGGTGGCCCCACAGCTACAAGGAGGAGTGGGAAGGAGGTGTTCTCAGAGTGATGGCATTGACTGCTACCATTTGGAGCTGTGCTCTGCCTGTGCCGCCCCCTCACCCCCCCCCCCAGCCCTTGTTTATTGGAACCTAAACTCTAGACAGGAACTCTTATCTGCATGCAGTTCCACACCTGGACTAAATCCTCAGAAGAATCAAAACTAGAATGACTCAGTCAGTACTGATGTTCAGAGACTGAGGGCAGCCCGCCTCAGCACCAGCCTTTACACCGCCCCTTATTATTAGGGCTGACGGGTACTTCATTTACTCCCTCAGCCTCAGTTTCCTCACCTACGAGGCGGGCACGAGAGTGAGTCCGCCTCCTGTGCACAGCTCCCGTTGAACTGTGGAACTTATGCCAAGGTCACACAGTAACCAGCCGATGAGTATTAGGGGTGTGGACCGGCCAGATGCTGTTGGGTTTATTCTACCAGATACCACTTCAAATTCCTTCTAGAACAGGCAGGGCACAATTCAAATAATCAAAAACTCTCCTGAATGACTTACCCAAGGAAGCTGCAGACCTATTATTCTAGCCCAGAGCGTAGCCCAACTTCAAAGACAAAAATGAAATCACTTTGGGACAAGAAATCTCCCTTCCCACAAGCCCAGACTCCTGCCACAGAATGAGACCAGACTGTCAAACTCAGAGCAGCTCCTTTAGTCTGCTCAGACAGGATAGCCGTTTCCCTCCTGCAGGAGACTGTGGGTGAGTCACCTTGCCTCTCAGAACTCTAGTTTCCCAACTTGCAAGTGGAGCTAACAACCCTAACCCCTCAGGGTTGGCGTGATAACTAACCACACATTAAACACTAATACTTTTACAACTGTTTGCCTTCATTCTGGAGCGGTGTGTAGTACCGGGCATCTGTAAGGTCATCATTTCAGCTCCCACTGGCCACTGACAGGGTACGGTCATCTGGTCCTCTGAGATGGATTTTGCCATCCTCCCCCCACCTGAGACTCCGATGTCCTCTAAGGTTTGGGCTTGAAAAGGGGCTTCATTAGTAACCGGATAATTCTGTGGGAGGCCCCCAGCAGCGGTTCCTCCCCGCCGGGAGTAATTCTAGGAAGGTAATGTGAGCTGGAGAGACTGGAGACCCAGCTTCACATTTATTTACTCTGACAGCTAAATTGGTGAGCAAGGGGGAAATCAGATGAAAGCCATTTCAGAGTAAATACTAAATACAAAATTTAAACATTCAGGCTGTGACACGCAGGGAGAGAGTAAATGGGAAGAGACAGAGGTACTGCACTCCTCTCCTGCCCAGGACCTTATTCTCACCTTGTCACCTTGCTGGACATTTCCCGTTCAGCAGATGGCATACAAACTGAATGACCCTCAGCCAGCAACTCATCTCTCCCAGTTACAGTACCCTTGGTGGTAAAACGTGCAAGTTGCTTCAATCAGATGATCTTGAAAGTGCTGGAGAGAACTCTGGGCTCAGAGACAGGAGGTTGAATCCCAGTCCAGCCACTTCCTGGAGCCTCAGTTTCTTTAGCCGTGGGAACACTATCAGCTTCGGATTTAATGAAATGATCGACGTCAGTTCTTTAGACCTCAAAGTATATTGCAAATGTCTCCAGGTGTAGTCAGCCCAGCTCTCCCAGAGTGAGCACCCACTGGTAGGTTCAGGTTGGCAAATGTTTAAGAAGCTTTTACTCCATCCCAGGTTCCGGTTAGGACTAGGAAACCCAGAGGAAACTGACCTGCTGTCTGCCACAAAGGGCCCACAGTCTTGCTGAGAGAGAAAAGCTAGGTGATAGTATGATTTGGTTAAGTGTTCCAAGGAGTACCCAGGGAGCAAGGGGGAGGGGTGCTTTTGCTTGGTTCCCCAGTAGAGCGCCAGGGAAGGCATCATACAGAAAGTGACCCCTCAGGGAAGCAAGGAAGGATGAGTTAGTGAGACGGGCAAGCAGGGTTGGATCAGAGTGAAGGCGGGGGATCCAGACTGTGTGTAGGATTCAAGTTTAGGAGAGGAGGTAGGTGGGAGTGAGGGATGGAGGGTAGAGTGATGGGAAGTGTGGATTCATCTTCAAAGTCTGGGTCTCTGCACAGGTCGCTCCACTGTCTCTGCAGATCTGCATAGAGTGGAGTCAAGGATTCTGGTAGCTTGAGATGATAACCTAACTGTGACACGCTGCTGTGAGTCTCTGAGACACTCTAGGAGCCTGAGCTTCCCCCATCGTAATACAGGTACTAACAGGAAACCCACTTAAGTATTGGAGTATATTCCGGGAATCCAGGATGTATCCTCAAGTTAAGAACTTCATGCTGGGCGTGCTGACATGGCTCAGTGGGTTCAGGGACTTGTTGACGAAACTGATGCCTGAGTTCAATTCCCAGGGTCCACATGGTGGAAAGAGAGAACTGATGTCCTCACGTTGCCCTCTGACTGCCACACGTACTCCATGTCCCACAGGAACCCCCACAAATACACAACACAACATGTATACAGGAAGTGAGTAAATAAGCATAACAGTAGCAACAATGACAATAAAAGCAACTTGACACTGCTCCAGTGTCCAGGAAGCACTTCTCACCCAGAGCCACGGTCATCACTCAGAATTCATGGACACAAAGAAGACACTAGCGCAGCGGAGTCCTCCAGGGCTAACAGTCCTGCTAAGAGAATTCTGCCCCCACCACTTATGCAGTCAACCTGCTCTACTCTGCCGTTTCAAACCCGAACATCACTCCACTGGGAAAGAGACTTGAATATCATGCTAAGTAATATCA